CGTCGACAATGGTGAGAAAATACTCAGCTCCAGCAGCTCTAAGCTTCAGGGGGCCCACCACGTCCATCACCACCTCATCAAGCGGTGCCTTTGCCGTTGCCTCCGAACTAGGGAACGGAAACCGGGTGAACTTGGCTTGAATGCACGTCGGGCAGCCAAGCACCTCATCGGGCTCCCCCTTCACACGTATGCCAGCAACCATCTCATTCTTCACTAGCTGCTGCAAGATGGGCAGGGCCACATGCCCCATGCGCCGATGCAAGGTGAGCCAATCACACTCCCCCGTAGCCGAAGATGGATTGGAGAATGCCGCGCTCGCAATAGCGCCCCACATACTCTCTCCGTAGTCTTCCTCCGCTGCTGCCTCTGGGTTCTCATCACCCTTTTGCTGCTCCTTGGTTGCTGCACCACTCTCCTTAGGTTCACTGAACTTGCTGGTCCCTCCAGGTTTGCTCTTCTTGAGCTCATTCTCCTTAGCGCGACCGTTCGCGCCATCGTCGCTACCGACCGCTCCATCCTTGGTGCTGATGCTTGCTGCCACTTGCCTCTCCTTAGGCATAGGGACCACTGGGATCTGCCACATCTCGTTGTAGACATCCCTGTCCTCATGAAGGTCCCAAAGAATTCGATCGCCAAGCCTTGCGGTGTAGGTCTTGGCTCCCTTCGAGTTCGTGTCCATGCCGGCCTTTGCCAACCGCCGCACGGAAATCAGGTTTGCAGCAAGGCTGGGCACCCAAAGCACGTTCTTGAGGCCCACCATCTTCCCATCAGCACCCTTGAACATGGCCTTGCCCATGCCTTTCACCTCTGCTCGCTGCCCCAAAGCCGATGTGACATGCTTCACCGGTGACGGCTCGAGTTCGGTGAGCAAGTCCGGGCGAGGTGTCATGCTATAGGTAGCGCCACTATCAATCACCCAATAGTCCAGGGGGTGTAGGGTCACCTTCCCCACAGCTGCTGGCTCCTCAAAGCCTTCATCCTTCTCTGGACCAGCCGGTACTTGCGTCGACACGAAGTAGAATAGACCCGGGTATCGATCGTCGCTCGGGTCCTTGTCGTTGTCTCCGCTCTTCATGTTTGCAGCTCCGCCACCGCGACCGCCACGGCCTCCACGGCCTCGTCCTCTCCCTCCTCCTGCTCCTCTACCCTCTTGACCTTGAGCAGGGGTCCAACCATCAGGGAGTTTGTAGCAGTCGCGCCACATGTGTCCGCTCTTGTGGCAATAGTGACACTCGCCGTCGAATCGGCCGCGACCGCGTCCGTAGCTCTTGTCGTCGCTGCCGTAACCGCCACTCCTGCGGCCTCCGCCGAAGTTGCTGCCACCAAACCTTCCTCCCCCTCGTCCTCTGCCTCTTCCTCGACCATATCCACGGCCGATGCTCGCTGCCCCAGCGCCATCCGCACTCGCCGACTCACGGCGGCGGAAATCCTCTTGAAGGATAGCTCGCTTCACGTCTTCAAGCGAGAGGCGGGGCAAGTCGCGATTAAGGTTGATGATGAGCGAGGACCATGACTCTGGGAGTAAGGCCAGCAACTTGGTCTTCTTTTGGAGCTCACTGTAGTTCAAATCAGCTCCCTCAAGCCGCGTCAACAAGTCGAAGAATTTCTGCACCCCTTCTTCAACCGCTTCGTTTTCTTCAATTCGTAGTGCCGCCATTTGCCGTTCCAACACCACCGCTACCGCCGCTGTTGCAGGAGCATGTACACCCTTGAGAGCAGCCCATGCCTTTGGTCCTTTCTCTGGTTCACGCTGGAATGGCTTGATGTGACGGATCTGACTGCTCCCCAACGCTTGCCCAAGTAAGAGATAGCCTTGTGCGCTCTTCCGCACCCACGGGCTCTTCTCCGGGTCGTTCTCGGGGCGCTTCTCCGTTCCTTCCATCACCTCCAGCAGGTCATAGTGGTCAAAGATGTTCTCCATCTTGAAGGACCATTCAGCAAAGTTGTCACCGTTGAACTTGTCAAGCCCAAACACCCTAGGCTCATCCCTAGGTGGGCCAAGACTTGGTTGCATGGGCGCCATGGCTGAATCACGGGGTTGGCCTTGAGCTTGAGCTTCTCCACTGCCACCAGCACCTCTGCCACCCCTTTCCTCAGGTCCAGACAGTGTCGAAACTGCTCCAAGGGCTCTGATACCACTTGTTATAGTCACAATAGGCTTGAATGTGCCTAAAACGAAAGATAGAGAGCACAGACGGATTTCTGCACAGCGGCTTCAAACGTTGATAGCGTTCTGCTCACAGCTGCAAATGACTTGATTCAAATTGGATCTGGAGCGTCTTCACGTCGTATACAATTATCAATTTAGATTGCACGATTTGATAAAGAATTGACGACACAGCGTCGGTTTGAACGAACGGTACTATGGCAGCCACTATAGTCTTAGAACACAAGATAGGAAGAGTTACGAGTTGGGAATGACTCCCAGCTCCTACAAACCCCAAGAGCCGAGGTACAGTGATGTGGAACAGTGCCACACTGTCCCCAACCACGAAGGGTCTCGAAACTACCCTTCACTAGGGCCTACACCAAGTGAAATGTTACACTACACAAAGTAATGTAACTATCTTCAATATCTTGAGGTGTACCCTTTTGGCGAGCTTCGAAATCACTTGAGGCTTGACACCAAGGCTCGGGCTCTTCATCACAAACTCATCCTTGAGTTCTTGATGGGTCTGCTGCACACACCTGCGACACGCCGAACGTTCGACACAGGACAAAATAGAAACCGCGCACGACAAAATAGAAACCGCGCGCGAGACACAAACGACCGCGTAACACGCGTCTAGCGATAACTCGCTATTGACTCGACACACACACTCGACATCATGACTCAACATTCACACACAATTATAAGCATGAAATATATATTATCCCATGCCCTCATACCATTCCATACACACACACATTCACGCACACGGACAACAAGCCGAGTGCAAACCGTAGGGTTGCACCAACACAAAATTCGTCACGCCGAATCAGTTCACGTTGCAGTGCGACAACCAGAGTGCAATTACCATCGCCAACAAGCCTGGTTTCGTCAATCGCACAAAGCATATTTCGCTGCGTTACTTCTTCGTAAAAGACGCGATCGACAAGGGGAGAATGCGCCTTGTCTACTGCCCCACCAGCGACATGGCCGCTGATTCGCTTACTAAGAAGCTGACACGTCAGAAATTTCATCACTGCAACCAGCTCAGTGGCATTTCCGAGTCAACAGGGTGACTACACCGAACTCCTAGAAGTGAAGGGGAGTGTTGAGATAATGTCGAGACTTATGCACTTCAAGGAATTCGTATAGTTAGTACAGTAAAAGTACCGATAGACTGACGTCAGCAAAGCGCTACGCGCCTTAGGATGACGTCATCAGTAGCTGTAGGTATCGCGAATAGTCACGTACCTTTTCAGAACAGGAATAGCGCGAATAAATACAGCACAGTAGGCGAACAGGTACTTTAGTCTAGTTATATATTCTGTATGCTTGTCATTTTATAATATACTTGATTTCAGAGACCTTTGATCCTGTTACAAGTCACTCATATAAAAGACGTCCACTGCTACAGGAAGCTACTATCCTAAGACTACGATCCTATTCAAACAGTTCAGGTTCTAACAAAAAGAAGCGAAGATGAAATTTTGCTCGCTGCGAAAATGAAACTCGTTACCGTTTTAAACATATTTATAATTTCAAAATGTACGTGCGCTTATAATAAGTAAAGGTTTTCCAGGGGGGGCGCTTATAATCGAGTTTCGGCCATAAGCGCCATGCTCCAGATAGAAGCGCCGGCGCCTTTAATCGGAAGGCGCCTATATCCGGGGCCATACGGTATGCCTTTGACTGAGAATAGGCGGGAACAAGTTTGAAACAGGTTCCCGCGCTGCACACAGGCCTCTCGTTATCAGGGTAAAATACCCTTTTTGCACTGACTGGCGGCCGCTTTTTTTCAGTTACCCTTTCACAGGCAGGGTACTGGATTTTTAACCCTAGGCCAGAAAGTGTAAGTTTTTTTGTACCCTTTGAAAAACAGCGTAAGGAACATATTTCCCTGACTGTAACACTGTACAATCCCAGATAGAATGATACCGAAAGCTCCGTAGCGAGACGAGCGACCATTCGGGCCCCTGCAAAATACTACTCCCAACAGCGAGACTCGAACCTACGACCTTCGGATAAAACTCGCAGTCGAATCAACTGAGCTACTAACTGCTAAACTGCACAATTTTGGCATTATATCTAACGATTTGTTTTAACACCCTGGCCAAACAGCCTAACATTTTTTTTACCCTGCATTTGTCAGGCAAACAGAAAAGTTACCCTACGCATCAGGGTTGACTATACCTAGAACCCTGATTACTAAGGGTGGCCCAAAACCAATCTGGAGCCCTGGCTGCACAGTTGTATTTCGACGTAATAAGGGAATGTAACATTTAGAGTGCATAGCTAGCTAGGTCGTTTCGTATTCCTTTGTGATTTTATATAAACCTATGTATGTCTTTCTTATAATCACTTAAGTAATTAATTGTACATTCACTCTGGCTAGGAGTCAATAAATTCTGTTGCAATATCACTCTGAGATCAGCCCTGAGACTTGCAAGGTCCTCCGTGGGATCGTAACAATATGGGGGGAGGGGAGGGTGGGGGGGGGGGGGGGGGGGGGGGGAGGAGAGGCTTTATCATTAATGATATTAAGTATATTTTTGTCTAGACCCTCATTGTATGGTCTGATTGTTGAAGTCACACCTTCCATATTCCATTAACTTACGTTTCGCCGTATCGAGTACGACTTCAGGTCTAATGAGGTTCCCCTTTTCACTTACCCATCCCATTCACGACTTCTCATCCACCTCCTAACGTCGTCTCCTCGCATCAGCCGTGCTGGTCAGCCGTAGCTTGTCGGAAACAGGGTGTGTTAGCTGCTGCTGTCATTTTTCTCGCGCCTAAGCTTCTTACGGCCATATATTTCAAGCTCAGCCGATACTAAGCTCCTCGCCGTGTTAGCATGGAGGACGCAGAGGCGCGCATATCTCGCCTGCGCGGCATGCGCGAGTCCGCGGCGCAGCAGCAGGCGGCGTCCCCCGCGCCCGTGCCTTCTGCCGCGCTCTCCGCACTCCCTTCCCCCGATTTCTCCGCCGCCGGCGCTTATCCGCATGCATCCGCGCCGGCGCTAACCGGGGAAGGCGGACATGGGGAAGGTAGATCTGCGAGACGGCCAGCAGGGGCAGCAGGAGGTTCGGGGGGATTTTCATTCTACACGGATCCTATGGCAGCGTACCAGCAGCAGCCACGTGTAGGGCCGGGATTGGGCCCGCCTGCCACGCGGACTCCTTCCCCGCGCTTGCCTTCCTCGCATCTTCCCCCCTCCCCTGTTCCTTCCCCCGCTGGCTCCGCCGGCCACTTGCCTTACGCAAACCAGCACCCCATTCCGCCCAGCTACACCCCTCCCCCGGGCCAATCCCCTCTTCCCGCGCACACCCCCCTTCCGCCCGCCTACACCCCGCCCCCCAGCTACACCCCTCCGCCCAGTTACACCCCTCCGCCTGGCCACGCCCCCCTTCCACCTTCCGCGGGTCCCCCAAGCGGGGGACCATTCAGCGCGCCCATCCTCCGGCATCCCCCCCCGGGTGGCGGAATGGGGGTGGCGTTTTCCCCCCTGCCCGCGCCCATGCGCCAGGCTACCCCTCCCTCCGCGCCCCTGTACCAGTCAACACCTCCCCCGGGTATGACCCCCCCTGGCGTGCCTGGTGGTGCAGCAGGTGTCGCCTCCCCCATGCACCTCCCGCCTGCCTCGTGGGGGGGTCCTCCTGGCGCAGGCGATCAGAGTTACGCTGGGTCGGGTTACCAGCAACAGGGTTACCAGCAACAGGGTTACCAGCCACAGCGTTACCAGCAGCAGGGTTACCAGCAGCAGGTGGGCAAAGGGTGGGATGGCGGTGGGAGAGGGGGATGGGGACAAAGCAGAGGAGAGGGAGGGGGAGGGGGGAGAGATGGGGGCAGAGGGGGAGGAGTAGGGCAGTTGGGTGGGCACGGGGGCATGGATGGCAGGAAAAGGCCTTGGGAGGGGCAGGGAGGGGGGAGAAGCAGTTATGATAGGGGAGGGGAGGGTGCGAGTCCGAGTGGGGGTGGTGGAGGGAGAGGGGGGTGGAATAGGGAAGAGAGGGGGAGTGGAGGAGGATGGGGTGGAAATAGAGGTGCGGGAGGGAGGGGAGCAGGAAGAGGAGGGGGAGGAAGAGGAGGGAGGGGAGGTAAAGGGGGTGTTTCGGCACGGGAGCAACCGGACGCGTTTTTCTCGCCAAGGTTTCTAGAGGATCCGTGGAAGCATCTAAACTGACTCGAAACCCTATGCGTTCATTGGCTCGTTTCAGATACGGTATGGGTTGTGGATTTAACAGCCCAATCACACACGACTAGATTGCTGATTTGTTGCTCGATCTGAGTTCCAAATCTGGGGCGGCTACGGTAACCATTACTGGTATAGTCTTAGCTAAAATACAAGATGTAATGCCATATGAATTCAATTTCTAGAGTTGATCGTCTGGTTGTGTAACCAAATGATTAAGTCCAATTACTGACGAGGACTGCGAGGCACCCAAAGTCGAGGCCAGCTGCAAGCGAACAGCCACAGTCAGATAATATTTCTCCTGATTGGGACGAATTTGGTAACTGACCTCTCTGATCTCGCAAATCGCAAATCCCAGTCACAGAGCCACGCCTTTTGAACAGGATGTTTTCAAATAGGAGAGCCTTATATTTTCTATTTTTTGTGCGATAATTGGTGACATTCCATGCTTCACTTCCCTGGCAAAGTCGCCAGTTGCGAGCCGTAATGGCTCTCGCAGATCATTCCCTCGCGTCGCGTCGCGACCACGTCGCGAGGTCCTTAAACGGTTTTTCTTTGCTGCGGGATGCCGAACCTTCTAGTCGCTCTCTCCAAGATTCTAACAGTCGCGATTCAAGCAGCCGCAGTAGTTCTATTAGCGCCAGCGCTATAGTAAGCAAAGGCAGCGCGCTGTTTCGCGACGGCGGCTCGCTGCAATCGCACATGGCCGCAGCCCTTTTGAACGGAATGCGCGCCGCTGCGCCGCTAGTAGCGGGAGGGTTGGCACAGGCGCAGCCCGCGCAGCAGCAAAACCGCCGCCCGGAGAAGCCTTTGAAGGCGGAGGAGCGGAGAAATGCGGTGACGGGAAGTGGCGGAAGAAATGGGGGGAAGAATGGCGGGTTGAAGCGAGGCAACAGCGGCAGCAGAAAAGAAAATGTTCGATTTTCAAATCAGGATTCCCCTCCCTCCTCTCCTTCCTCGCCCTCCTCGCCCTCCTCTCCTTCCCTCTCCTCGCTCTCTCCTTCCTCGTGGATTCCTCTCCCCCTCTCCTATCAAACCCCTTCCTCTCCTGCCACCTCACCATTCCAACTCCTCACTCAGTTCAGACTCTTCTCGGGCAGCAATAACTTTCACCATGCTGCCCGCACTGTTCAGCCTAATGACACTGTTCATCCGGGCGGCATCTGGGGGAGGCTGGCGCAGGGAGGCTGGTGGCCAGCAGGGGAGCAGGCAGAGGAGGTGGAGCTATCCGGAGTGCACAAGGTGCGGTTCTCTGCGGTTCGCCATAGCACTCTCGTTCCTCCCTTCCTTCCCCCACCACAACTGGTCCTTAGACCACAACAGAACCCACCTTGTGGCTTTGTGTGTTTTCCATTCGCCCCCTCGTCCGCACCTCAGTCCACAACCACGCTCCTCTCTCTCTTCTTCTCCCGCCTCCTGATATCTCCACTCTCCTCTGCTCCATCAGCTCTCCCCTCCACTCTCCACTCCCCTCTCTCCTCGTTCCCCTCTCCCCGCCCTTCCCCACTCAGCTGGGCCTGTGGACGACAGTAGAGCCCTGCATCCGAGCATCTCGGCAGCATCTGGGGGAGGTACATCTGAGGGTAGTGCGCTGCCTCGTGCTGCCCCTTCCATCACTCTCCTCCCCCTCGCCCACCTCCTCTCAGCCCTCCTTCTCCGCCTCCTCCGCCTCCTCCTCCTCCTCCTCCTCCTCCTCCTCCTCCTCCTCCTCCTCCTCCTCCTCCTCCTCCTCCTCCCGTCTCGCAGCGCCGTGCCAGCTGGCACTGACAGCTGTCTCCGACACGAGGAGCCGGGCCGTGGGCACAGCAGAGGTGCTCATAGGGTGGGTGCTCTCTGAGTGATTTTTAATATGGGGTGTTGATGGGGTGGGTGTTGATTAGGTCTGTGCAGGGGATGCTGGGGTGCACAAGGTGCACAGCTGTCTCCGACACGAGGAGCCGGGCCGTGTGCACAGCAGAGGTGCTCATAGGGTGGGTGCTGATAGGGTGGGTGCTGATAGGGTGGGTGCTGGTAGGGTGGGTGATGGTGGGTTGGTCACTCTCGGATGTTCTTTTCTTTCACAAGTTGGGGTGGGTGTGATGGAAAGGAGAGGACGGGTATGCTCCATCTGCTTGTCACTCTCTAAACCCCTCCGCTCTTATCCACCGACGATACACAGATGTCTTTTTTCATTCATCTCTCACTCACAATCAAGAGTCCCCAATGCCCATTCTCTCGTCCGTTTTGTAACCTCCCATCCGTTTCCCATGCATCCTATCTCTTCTTCCCAATCTGGTCTTCTGTTTTATGGCAAGGATTGTTTGGGTGCACTGCTCTACTCTAGCCTCTCTTATATGCCCGCATTGCCACGTTTTTTGCCCTCATTCTCGCATGTGCTGCATCTTTGCTGCCAATTGGCTGTGAGTCGCCCCTCTTTCTCCGGATACGCAATAGTTTCAATCAAAACGAGTGTCGCCCTCTTTCTCCAAATATCCCTTTCTTTTATGTTCATTCTTGTGCTGCCAAAGGCACTGCCAAGTGACCTTCTCCCCCCCGCCCAGATCATTTGTGATCCCGAATTCCAGGACTCCAAACTAACTTCTCTCTCATCTAGAGTAATTGCAGGACGATTCACACCAGTAGAGCCCCAAGTAGGAGGCATGGCGTAGCAGTTGTAGCAGTTGTAGCAGTTGTAGCAGTTGTAGCAGTTGTAGCAGTTGTAGCAGTTGTAGCAGTTGTACAACTGCAGGACGATTCACACCAGTACACACATACCACCCTCTCTCTCGGCTCTCGCTTACCACCCCCTCTGTCGACTCTTACTTACCACCCTCTCTCCCAACTCTTACGAAACACCAGTGATCACAGGGAGGTCCACACTGTGAGCGTTTCGGTTCCACCCTTAAAATTGGCCTTCGAGTGCCCTTTAAGTCTGCTCACGATCTGCCCCAACCAATGCCTTTGCTCTCCCAAATGTTTCTTCCCCTTTCAGTGATCGCCGGGAAGGCCACTCTTTGAGCGCTGCCGTGACCTGTGACCTCTCGCATTTACTCTCTCTTGATGCTGCCACATCGCACCGGTACTTTACTGCCCCATCCCACTTGTGTGCACCCGCAGGCGCACGCACACACGCGGGCGCACGCACACACGCGGGCGCACGCACACACGCGGGCGCACGCACGCACGCACTCGTGCATATGCGCGCGCTCACACATGCGCACGCACGCACGTGGTCATTCACATGCATGCTCACACACACATATAAACACAGACAAGAGCAAAGCATCCTAACTCTGGAGGCATATCGGCATTTCTCATATCAACTGTACCAATCCCACACGTCTATCTCCGCCCCATGTCATCCGTGCATCTCCACATTTCATCCGTCCATCTCCACATCTCATCCGTCCATCTCCACATCTTCGTGCCCCCGCCAGCCTCTCCCGTGCAGCGTGGCTCTACACGCGAGTCACAGCACACAGCAAGCAGCCCGACCGAACACGAGTTCTGCTGCAGGTACTGCGGGTGCACTGGGTGCTGCAGGTGCTGCCGATGCACTGGGTGCTGCAGGTGCTGCCGATGCACTGGGTGCTGCAGGTGCTGCCGATGCACTGGGTGCTACAGGTGCACTGGGTACTACAGGTGCACTGGGTACTACAGGTGCACTGGGTACTACAGATATCCTAGCCTTTGACGCTGGATATTTACATGCTTGTTTGCAATTTCCATGCAGATTACTTCATGTGTGTTCATTCGTTCAATGTGATTCCACTCCTCTCTCTATGCACTTGAACCCATCCTTCTCTACTCCATCCTCTCCCATCCTTCACCCTCTCCCATCATTCCTTCATCCCCTCCCATCCCTCCTCCATACTCACCCATCCTTCCCCACCTCCTATCCTTCCTCACCTCCCATCCCTCATCATCTCCCATCCTTCCTCACATCCCACCCCCCACCACCCTCGCACTCTAGTGGGTGCTTCGACCGACTCCCCGCCACACATTCTCGCCCCTCCTCGCCCTCTCGCCCGCCCGTCCTGCTCAAGCTGTGCTCACGTGGAAGACCCAGAGCGTGCCTGCTGCAGGTGGGTGAGAATACAGAGTGGATAGGAAGCGAGGATAGAAACTCAAGTGGAGAGAGACTCAAGGGGATAGAGACTCAAGGGGATAGAGACTCAAGGGGATAGGAAGCGAGGATAGAGACTCAAGATGATAGGAATCAAGGATAGACACTCAAGAGGATGAAATGAAGAACACACTCGCACCTTTGGGTTGTTCCCATGGGTACCACTGTTCCCATCAACATGCCGTGCCATTGTTCCCATGGGTACCACTGTTCCCATCAACATGCCGTGCCATTGTTCCCATGGGTACCACTGTTCCCATCAACATGCCGTGCCATTGTTCCCATGGGTACCACTGTTCCCATCAACATGCCGTGCCATTGTTCCCATGGGTACCACTGTTCCCATCAACATGCCGTGCCATTGTTCCCATGGGTACCACTGTTCCCATCAACATGCCGTGCCATTGTTCCCATGGGTACCACTGTTCCCATCAACATGCCGTGCCATTGTTCCCATGGGTACCACTGTTCCCATCAACATGCCGTGCCATTGTTCCCATGGGTACCACTGTTCCCATCAACATGCCGTGCCATTGTTCCCATGGGTACCACTGTTCCCATCAACATGCCGTGCCATTGTTCCCATGGGTACCACTGTTCCCATCAACATGCCGTGCCATTGTTCCCATGGGTACCACTGTTCCCATCAACATGCCGTGCCATTGTTCCCATGGGTACCACTGTTCCCATCAACATGCCGTGCCATTGTTCCCATGGGTACCACTGTTCCCATCAACATGCCGTGCCATTGTTCCCATGGGTACCACTGTTCCCATCAACATGCCGTGCCATTGTTCCCATGGGTACCACTGGATTAACATGTCATGCCATTCTCTTTCCCAACCCCCACCCCCACAAGCCCCCTTTTCCCCCTCTTAATCACTCTTTGTTGCAGGCGTTTATGAAAGTTCTAAGACATCGTCGTCTCTCATTCCATCCTTAACCTACCTCTGCTCATGTTATTTCTGTCTTCATCAGTTGATTGTCTCCTCGTCAACTGTATCCCTGCCCCACCACCATCAGCAGGCACCATTCCCCATTCGCTACAGCTGCGTCTCTTTCTGTCACAACACGGGGCCATGGCTCTCAGACTTGATGCAGCCATGGGCCTTGGATTTACGGATGGGGATGCAATCGAAGGAGCGACGATGGACGTTTAGCTTGGCTTGGGCATTATTTTATGTTATACAAGATGCTGTCTATGTTTCTGTGTAGCATGTGACGGTTTTTGTGAGATGAAAGCATGTGTGCATCAGGGTTGACGTTTCAAAAAAAAACACTCTGGTTTTTGTAGGGGTAATTTTTTTTTTTTTGTCTGAGGCATATTTTCCAAATATTGACTACTCAGATTTTACAGGTTTCACAAACCTACGAGTCTGAACTTCTCAGAGTTCAGAATGCAAAATCAGACCAATTTCAGACTAAGGGACTGACTGAAATGGTGCACGTTGCAGCGCGAAGTGACTTCACTACTCCACCTCCAGCACACATACCTAAGTTCCCTAGCTGACACGATTTGCTGATGCTGATGCTGCTTGCTTCTCCTGCAAGCGATTTGCTGCTGCTGTTGCAAGATCTGTTGCACGTCTGGCGCAACCTGCTGCTGGTGTGGCACGACCTGCTTCTGGTGCGGCACGACCTACCGTATCACCCCGGATAGAATCGCACATGCGCTTATAATAAAACAGAGTTTTTTAGGGTGGTGCGCTTCTAATTGAGTCATTTTTATAAGCGCATGCGCTTATATAATGACAGATATAGATATATAATTTTATAGCATCAAAATGTACATCTCAGTCGTACCATTCCAATCTAGGCGAAATTTTATAGCGCCAGGAATCAGAATCGCGCGCTACCAATTCTTTTCCAACACACAGGGGCAAAGTCCGTCAAACTTATATATAGCTTACACTGTGTAGGCTGTAGAGGGGTAGCCCATAAGGGGTACAACCCAATTAGGGTTAATATCTGTACCCAACTCTTTGCTAGTTCATTCATTCTCATTCATTCTCTTGACATGGTTTCAGAGCAGGTCCTCCGCTAGGACCGGTTTTCCTTGGGCCCACCACTTCGCTGCCCCACTAGCAGCCCTCTGCAGCCCTCGTGCTGCCCCTGCTTCCTAGTGCAACCCGTAGGCCCCTAGGCCCCGGCCCGTCGCCACCCCTAGCCCGGCCCGTCGCCCCTAGGCCCGTCGCCCCGGCCCGTTGCCCCTAGGCCCGTCGCCCCTTGGCGTCGCCCGTCGCCCCTAGCCCGCCCCCCCCCGTCGCCCTAGGCTCGTCACGACCCCCGTCGCCCGTCGCCCGGCCCGTCGCCCTAGGCCCGTCGCGACCCCCGTCGCCCCTAGGCCCGTTGCGACCCCCGTCGCCCGTCGCCCAGGCCCGTTGCCCCGGCCCGTCGACCCCCAAACCGTCGCCCTAGGCCCATCGCCCGTCGCGGCCCGTCGCCCGTCGCCCCTAGCCTAGGCCCCTCGGCCCCACGGCCCCTTGCGACCCGTCGCCCCTAGCCTAGGCCCAGGCCCCGCGGCCCGTCGCCCCGTCGCCTCTAGCCTAGGCCCCACGGCCCCCTGTCGCCCTAGGCCACGTCGCCCCGCGGCCCTTCGACCCTCGGCCCCTTCGCCCCTGGCACCGCGGCCCCGTCGCCCCTAGGCCCCCGGCCCCTCGGCCCCTTCTCTCCTGGCCCCGCGGCCCCGTCGCCCCTAGGCCCCCGGCCCCTCGGCCCCCCTTCTCTCCTGGCCCCGCGGCCCCGTCGCCCTAGGCCCCCCCGGCCCCTCGGCCCCTTCTCACTTAGCCCCGCGGCCCGACGCCCCTAGGCCCCCGGCCCCTCAGCCCCTTCTCTCCTGGCCCAGTGGCCCCGTTGTTGAAAGTAACGAACGAGAATGGATGAACTAGCAAAGAGTTGGGTACAAGTACTAACCCTAATTGGGTTGTACCCCTTATGGGCTACCCCACTATAGCCTACACAAATGTAAAAGCTATAATGTTCTAACACACTCCCATAGGCAAAGTGGGGGAGAACAAGTGGTCACAAGACCAGTCAAGAAAAACAAAGCAAGCTCAGGGTGGATCACAAAGTCACCACGCAGTCCGAGCACAAGCAAAGGGCCACAAGGCCAATTCACATGCAGAGTGATATAAAGAGAACAAACAATACACTGATCATATCCTAGCAAGTGCAAAGAATGCACATATATATATAGATCACAGTACAAGCAGAGTCAAGCAATAAGTAAGTGAGGCAAAGTAGGCACAAGGCCTAACACAGTAGAGAAGCGCTGATGATCACCAGGAGGAAGTGCCTTGGTGAATATATCAGCAGTGTTGGCCCTAGTGGCCACGTACGCAAGACGAAGCTGGCCACGCTGCTGCAACCCTTGAGCAAGAAAGTATCGCAAAGCGATGTGCTTCGTTCTGTGCTCCAGTCTGTGCTCCTGACACAAGGCAATCATGGCCTTGTTGTCTACGTACAGAACTGGAGGCGAACGAGGCTGCTCTCCCAAGTCAGTCAGCAGGTAGGTGAGCCAGCGTAGCTCCTGTGCAGCCATGGCCCCGGCGTAGATCTCAGCTTCACAACTGGAGCTGAGAACCGAAGACGAGCGGGTAGACCGCCAGGAAACAGAGCCAGATCCAAGGCTGAAGGTGTAACCATGTGACGACCGCTGCGTAGCTGAGTCGTCAACCCATGAAGCGTCTGCGTGACCGGTGAGGACAACTGGACCCCGTCCTCCAAGCACGAGCCCCATGCCTGACGTACTGCACAAGTAGCGTAGTACCCTCTTCGCAGCATCCCAGTGCACCTTTTGGTGCCTACCGGGAGCCACGTAGCAAGCTAGAAGGCTGAGAGGGTATGCGAGGTCAGGTCGTGTGCACGTCATCAAGTACATGAGGCAACCCACAAGCTCTGGGTACGGACCACTCGGCTCTACGGACTCGTCCGAAGGTGGAGCTGAGAGCGAGTGGCTGGTAGACAGAGGAGTGGGCTGTGGCGAGGAGAACTGGAAGCCGAAGCGCTGAAGGACCTGGTGCACCATGTGTGACTGAGTCAGGGTAATGGTGCGCCGAGCTCTTTCCCGGGTGATCTGCAAGCCAAGATAGCTGTGCACCTCACCCAGGTCAGTGCATGTGTGTCTCTTCTGCAGCTCGGACTTCACAAGGGTCAGTGCCTCAGTGTCAGCAGTGGCAAAGACGAGGTCGTCGACGTAGACAAGGACGTAGAACGGCGTCAGCGAGGTGCCGGTGCGTAGAAACAGCGACGGGTCAGCAGTAGCAGGAGCAAACCCAAGAGCCGCAAGTGTAGTCCTCAGTGTGTCGTGCCACTCGCGAGGCACCTGGCGGAGACCGTAGACTGGCCGCCGAATACTCCGCTGAGTACCTGCAGGAAAAGACTCAGTGAAACCAGGTGGGCGACGCAACCATATCTCCTCGTGCAGTCTGCCCAGCAGGAAAGCTGTGCTGAAGTCCAGAGAGTGCAACTCGTAGTCACGCTGAGCAGCGACGTGCAGCAACACCCGAAGTGTAGTCATCTTTGGGGTGGGGGAGAAGGTTTGGAAGTAGTCATCTCCCTGTCGCTGACTGAAGCCTCGAGCAACGTAACGCGCCTCGAAGGCAGGCGGAGAACCCGGCGGCCGCTTCACCCTGAAAATCCACATGCCATCGACTATGTTCGCCCCAGGTGGGGGAACCTCGTCGACGTAGGTGCCTGTGGACTTCCAGGATGCCATCTCGGCATCCATGGCTGCCTGCCACTGAGAGGAGCAAGGTCCCGTAATCGCCTCTGCGTAAGAGCGCGGGGTCGGGATGTTTGGAGCATCCGGGTCTCCCTCAGGGGCAAGCAGCATGGAAGCGAAACGAGGTACAGCAGCTGCAAGACACTCAAAGTCCTACTGCCTGTCCTCAAGGACGTCCGTGCCAAGAGCACACTCACCCCCGACCGATGGAGGACTGGCAGATGCAGACTCAGCAA